TCCAATGACCCCATCCTCGGGTTCGATTAATTTGCTAGAACTGTTCACAGAACTCAAGGAAACACTTACATTTATCAGTTTTTGAAAGGATATGACACAGATGAACAGCGAGATGAAGATACATATATAGGGCGAGGTCTGGGAGGGTCCTGAGTGCAGGAGCTTCTGTCCCCGTGTAGATGGGGTGCATCACCCCACCGGTGTGGATGTGTTCACCAACCTGGAAGCTCCCATCCCCCTACCGTTGGGATTTCATGGAGGCTTCCTCACATAGGCGTGATCAATTATTAACTCCATTTCCAGTTCTCTCCTCTCTCTGGAGAAGGGGCGGGGCTGAAAATTCCAAGCTTCTAATCACGGCTTAGTCTTTCTGATGACCAGCCCCCATTCAGGTGACCACCTAGAGTCCCCTTATTAGAACAAGAGACGCTCCTAGTGCTCTTATCATGTAGGAATTTACAAGTGTTTTAGGAGGTCTGTGCCAGGAACTGAGGGCAGAGACCAATATATATTTTCTATTATCTCACAGAGAGAGAGAGAGAGAGAGAGAGAGAGGGAGAGAAAATAAACACCTTCCCACAGTCTCATCCCTGATGGACCACCATTCATAGTTTGGAATATATACTTTCCCATGTTTTTAGATCTTTATAAAATTAATTTTTTAAACATGAAAATTTTAAAAACATTTAATTTTCTGTAAATTTTTTTCAATTCATAATAAATAGCTTTTCATGTCAGTAAATAAGCATGTACCTCTTCCTTTTTAATGGCTTGTCTAGGAGCACCATACTTTATTTGGCCAATCTTCTATCAATGTACATTTATTTCCAGCACTGGGGTATGTGCCAGAGGGGTCTGCTTTCTCTTCTATGGCAGGGGTAGGAGAATCCTAAAGTCTATCAAGGAAAACCATACACCAGTATCTGGAGAACTGCTGCCCCAGGGGCACACCAGACCACCCTCGAAATTCCTCCCTGCTGCCAGTAGTTGCTCCAGACCTGCTAGAATAACCCTCACCTTCTGTTCCCACCTGATGCTTGTGAGCCCTGGATAACCACAGGGAGCACTCACAACATTCTTGCGGTGGACCTAGGTAAATGATCACCCTCCCACAAATGAAGAATGTCATCTCATGTCACTCTCTATCAAGCAAATTACTAAGCTGTCCTTTGCCCAAGTAACTCTCCTTCAATGTATCTGAAGATAAAATGGTTCACTATGATTTCCTCTGTGTCTTTGGGTAATCTTAGTCTGTTATTAACATTTGTGGGGCCAGCCCCAGTCCTCTAGGACTCAACTTCTCCCAACTGGAACAAAATAATCTTTTTTGTTTTCTACCTGAAGAATAGGGAGAGAGCATACTGCTATTTGTTTGTATGTTAAGCTGACATCCTTTCCGAGGTTTCATGTTCTAAATTCTGAAACAAGTTTTGTGGGTTTCTCTCTCTTTTATATATCCAGTGCTATTGCCCAGTCCTTTTGATGACCATCACAAGTATGTCTAATTTTTCTGTCATCTGCCAAAGGATTACTGGGTATATGTGGTGAGGGGGGAGCCCCCAGGAAAATGTTTGTTGGGGCAGGGAGTTTGGGTGCGCTGACAGAAAGGGGAAATCAGGCAGCCCAGCGACTAGCATGGAGGGGATTGAGGTGCTAAGAATGGGATACAGAAACCCAGCATGTAAGCATCTGAAAAATTCACACTGGTGTTGTTCATATGTCGAGTGCAAAACACTGGTATTTATCTCATATCCTTAGTGCATTGATTTCTAGCCCAGTGCCCTGTCCTTTTACCACCTTCTCAATGTAAGTGTTGGTGAAATATTAACCACTTAGCTTTCTGGTTCTTCTTTTTTTCATAATTTTATTTATTTATTTTATTTTTTCCCCCAAAGCCCCAGTAGATTGTTGTATGTCATAGCTGCACATCCCTCTAGTTGCTGTACGTGGGACGTGGCCTCAGCATGGCCGGAGAAGCGGTGCGTTGGTGTGCGCCCAGGATCCGAACCCGGGCCGCCAGCAGCGGAGCGCACGCACTTAACTGCTAAGCCTTGGGGCCGGCCCTTTTTTTTTTTTTTTAATAGACTTATCTTTTAGAGCAGTTTTAGGTTCACAGCATAATTGAGAGGAAGGTACAGGAATTTCCCACACCCACTTACCCCCGCATTTGCACAGCCTCCCCCACGATCAACATCTCTCACCAGAGTGGTACATGTGTTACAACTGATGAACCTTCACTGACACATCATTATCACCCAAAGTCCATAGTTTACCTTAGGGTTCACTCTTTGTGTTGTACATTCTCTAAGTATGGACAAACGTATAATGTCATATATCAACTGTTATAGTATCATACAGAATAGTTCCACTGCCCTAAACAATCCTCTGTGCTCTGCCTATTCACCCCTCCCTCCCTCCAAACCCCGGCCACCACTGATCTTTTCACCCCACAGTTGTGCCTTGTCCGGAACGTCATGTGGTTGGAATCATCCAGTGTGTGGCCTTTTCAGATTGGCTTCTTTCACTTAGTGATATGCATTTAAGTTTCCTCCATGTCTTTTCATGGTTGACAGCTCATTTCTTTTTAGCACTGAATAATATTCCACTGTCTGGATGTACCAGTTTATCTATCCATTCACCTACCGAAGGATATCTTGGTTGCTTTCAAGTTTTGGCAATTATGAATAAAGCTGCTCTAAATATCCATGTGCAGATTTTTGGACCTAAGTTTTCAACTTCTTTGAGTAAATACCACGGAGCACAATTGCTGGATTGCCCGATAAGAGTATGTTCAGTTTTGTAAGAAACCAGTGAAGTGTCTTCCAGAGTGGCTGGACCATTCTGCATTCCCACCAGCAGTGAGCGGGGCCTCCTGTGGCTCTGCATCCTCGCCAGCATTCGGTGTCAGTGTTCCAGATTTTGGCCATTCTAAGAGGTCTGTAGTGGTATCGCACTGCTGTTTTAACTTGCATTTCCCTGATGCCATATGATGCGCGGCACCTTTTCACAGGCTTAGCTACCATCTGTAGCTCTTCTTCAGTGACGTGTCTGTTAAGGTTGGTTCTGTTTTCATGAAAAAAACAAAACAAAACACCTTTGTTCCCAATGTGAATACATTTCTTCTTAATACCTTTCTGTAGTGCTTAAATTTTTTTTACAGTGATATTTCATTTTTACAATAAAAAGAAAGCAAAAAGAAACAATGTTTTTAAAAAATCCAGGGTTGGAAAGAGAAGGGACTGAGAATGAAGCTAGTTGCCTGTATCTGCCACCCACCTCCCCAACTTAAGCCTTTAAACAACCACAGCTTTCAAAACTCTCCAAGAGCGAAGAGCCTGGTTAAAATAACACCACGACACACCCTACCTATTTCCTTTACTCAGCACCATTTAATGTATTAAAGAACAGCTTTTTTTCTTTTTTTAACTCAAAATAGCAAACATCACAGTCTCTTAAAAGCCACACATTTAATACATTCATAAGGTTTCAAATGAAAAACACGTACTACTCATGCTACAGGTTTTCAATCTTCCTTGGACAACACAAAAAACACAGTACTCAAACTGCATGTTTTAACAAGAGGAACATGAAATCTCATGAAAGCCTAATCCAGCACCAGCAACCTCCTTAAATGCCCCACCCTATCCCACTCTCAAACTCATACAGCTGCCTTCTATACCAGCATTTCTTCTTCTCTACCCAACAATTCAACAAAAAAAATTAGATATGTAGAGGTGTGTCACTGAATGAGTACTACAACATGCTAAAAACAAAAGCTGACGTATTTGCTGAATGTTGAAAGAGAGGAATAAGATGAGGTGAACAGAGGACAGTGGGGAAACTGGGGGGCGTTGGTTCCATTCACTCCACTCCAATTTCAGAGCACAGGAACCGTGCCCAAAGGTTAGCATGGGGAACTAAAGTTGCCAAGAAACGTCCCGACATTATCTGTACAAGGAAGACTGTACTAATGTCTATGAAGAGCTTTTAATACCATGGAAAAATATTTAAGTTATAAAGTTCAATGAGAAACAGAATACAAAACTGTATATTCAGTATGATCTTAACTGTGTAAAACCAAACCAACCAAAAGATGCCCTAAAAGAGGCTGAAAGTTCAAAATGTTAAGTTAGTGGTTGTATTTAAGTAGTGTATCTATAGTGATCTTTTTTATTCCTTTTACTTTTCTGTCCAAAATCTTCCCTACTAGGAGGATTTTTTTTCTTTAATAATTTTATTTATTTATTTTTCCCCCAAAGCCCCAGTAGACAGTTGTATGTCATAGCTGCACATCCTTCTAGTTGCTGTATGTGGGACACGGCCTCAGCATGGCTGGAGAAGCGGTGTGTCGGTGCGCGCCCGGGATCCGAACCCGGGCCGCCAGCAGCGGAGTGCGCGCACTTAACCGCTAAGCCACGGGGCTGGCCCTAGGAGGATTTTTTTTTTTAACTATCAGTTACAAAAAAGGAAGCCTGACAGAAGTATTGAATTTGAGTTAACGACTTTAAGTCCAGCCTATAAGAAAGGATTTGTACATTCATAAAACTATGAAACGTTCCAGGCTACTCTTTGAGTCCACTGTGTGTTAGGATAACTTTCCAGAGGTGGAAGGGCTTCGGCCTCTCCTCCAGCCAGACGCAGGGTCACCAGATCCTGCCTGATGAAAAATGCTGACCCCAACAGAACTGTCACGGCTTTACAGAAAGGAACAGAAATACCCACACTTGGCAAAAACCCATTCACAGTACAGTATTAGCTCCTTAACACAAGAACTAAACAAGAAGACAGTTATTTTCTCTTATCTTCTGTGCAGATGTCAAGTTTCAAAAAAGCCAGCATCACAATAACTGTAGAAAGCTAATCCTGGTTTAGAAACAGAAATGACAGCATTGCAACAACAGTGGACAAAGAAAAGCACAAAATTTAGAAAATTATAAAAAGTGCTTTCTATAAAAATGATTCCCTTTAAAACATTTATATACTGTACATACTTTAAGGTCCCCTCCCCTCACAATAAGAGCAAAACCTCCAAACATTTTCTACCCAAATATCCACTGGTTTGTTCCTTGAACAAACACTGACTGAAGGCTCACAGTGTGCGAGGCATGGGGTCTCAACAGGAGACAGACTTGCCCTGCCTCAAGGACATCCCGGTCTCAGAGCAGGACACAGCCGCACCCCCAGCACAACACAGCAATTAAAAGCAGATGCCACTGCTTTCCTACAATTAAAGATGCTGCAATTCGCACTGAATTACTCACCCAAAAGTCCTTACACAGGAGCTTTCCTGACTTACTAGGAGACAAAAATGCACCACTTTCCCTTGGTAAATACTTCTAGAAGGAGCAGACATTAAGTTACATTTTGTGACATCTGGCCCTAAACATCACGATGCCTAACTCTTTTAAGCAATGGAGCATTTTTTACTCCAAGAAGGAGACCCCTTGAAGCCGAGAATAAGTGACCAGTCCTATAGCTAGGTCAAGACTAGTCAGTGCCATCAAAAGCTGAGACTCGGGAGCACAAACTTCAATTAAAATCTTCGGCCTCCCCTTCTATCCGCTGATTTTCAATATGCTCCTTTGTCAGCCGCTCCAGGTCTTTCCTCACATTCGGGTGGT